CGGGAATTCTCCCCTCTGCCATGAGCCTGTCCATGAGCTCCCACTGGAGAGCCAGGCCCTGGAATCGAGACCAGGTGGCATCTCTGCAGCAGGGGCCTGGTCTGTAGCTTGGGGGTGTCATCAGGACACTGCCGGCCTTTGGGGCAAGTGTCCCTCAGGCAGGCGTGCTTGGGGGCTGGCGTCCCTGCCTCCCGCTCGTGAGTGTCCATGCAGCTTGGTCCCCCGGGCGGCCAGAGCGCCCCTACGCACTCACTCCCGCGGCCAGCGTCCCGCCCGCGAGGCTGGTGGGAATTTCTGAGCTGTCGCTCCCCGGCCTCCTTGCGTGTGCTCGGGCTCAGCCCTCCACCTGGCTTCCCCTTGGGCCCCCACTTGCTCCCACCAGCTTCCTCATTTTTAACCTTCCGTGTGCTAAGTAGGTTTGTGAGCTGCCTCAGGTCTTTCTCGGAATGAGCTGAAGATGCAAAAAATTTTAAGTTATGGTTTTTTTCAATGGGTCCCAACCCTCCCAGGGTAGGGGAGCTGGTGCAAGTGTGTGTAGGGGACCCCCCCAGGCCAAGCGCAGGCGGCCTCCAGCTTCTGCGTCGACTGCGCTCCAGGGCTTGGTGATGAACTTGGGCTCCCTGTTCGCCGCCCCCCCACCCCCGGGCCTGCATGTCGCGTGTTCTCCGAAGGTCGGCCTCACTCCCGGGTTTCCTCGTGAGTTCCCAGAACCCACAGGTGCCAACTCCTGTCCGGGACACAGATCGGGGTGCAGACCAGCCTGGAATCGGCAAGGAGACTATCACCCGCTCAGTTCTCGTGGTCTCGGCCCAGGGTCGGTAGGAAACAGTGGGACGCACAGGCGTGCATAGGGGACTATTGTCACATACATGAACACGTGTAAATACGTCACGGGTGACACTGCACACCCTGGGAGGATCGGGGGACGTGTCAGAACTGGAGGTCAGAGGGTGCTTGTTCGGAGTAAGGTCTCGGGGAGGCCACCCAGGTGTCTCCCTGGTCCCCTCTCAACAATAATTCCTTGTTTTATATCGTCTCTTTTTTTTTTTAAATTACCCGAGGCTATTTTTTCATTGCCTTTAGATCAAGTGGATCATGTGAGAGAGACACATTCATTGGTTGCCTCCCACGTGCACCCCGACCAGGGCTGGGAAGCGAACCTGCAGCCCAGGTGCATGCCCTTGACCGGGAATCGAACCCGCGACCCTTCCACGTGCGGGCCGACGCTCTAACCACTGAGCCACACCGGCCAGGGCCGTATCATTTTATTCACCAGCTGAACAGTAATATCTAAAAGCCTTTCCTGCCCACGTTTCCACCCAAACCGCTGGATCCCGTCAAAGCTCAGTGATGCTCTATGGAGACGCTGTTTGAAAGTCGAACCTTAAAAACTCCAGGAGGGCTGCGGACAGACGCGTCCTGCGTCACCTCCTTCGGGCCCCATGGGTGCTCGAGGAAGTCCGTGCAGTTGAGCTGTCACTGGGTCAAAACGGTCAACATGAACAACCAAAGCTCTTCCGATTTTAAAAAAATATATTATCGGCGCCCAAATTCTTCGGTACGCACGCACGTTCTAGTCGCTGGTGCCGGTGTATTTTTTTCACTTCGTTTTTTTTTTCCCCCTCATTCCCTAAATGTCCAAAGCCATTTCTCTGGTACCCCTTCATTCATTATTATTCTGAAATATATCATTATTATTAAATATATGAAAATAGAGAGAGGAAATCCCCGGCTCCTAAAGCCCAGCCGCTGGAAGACCAGGTCCGGACCGCGATGTGTCGGCGTCAGGAGCGTCAGTCCTCACGCTCAGGTGTCTCTTCCTCGGGACGGTCAGCGGATGTCGCAGGCGGGGGCAGAGCTGGTTCCTGTCGCCCTCAGCGCCCCGCGTGGCCGCCCCGATGAGGGGTCCGTGGGCACCGACGGGAACTTAGACGCGGTCTGTAAAACCTAGGTGACGAACACGAGAGAAACCGCCCGTGAGGCCTTCAGGGCCGGTCGAATGGAGCATTCTGGGGGCGGCGGGCAGCAAGGCCTGAAGCGGGCTCTGCAGAAGGCAGGCACGGCCATGCCCTGGGGCTGCGCCGGCTCCAAGGGCAGAGCCCCCCGGGTCCAGGCTGTGCTCCCAGGGTGGCAGGGAGGCCACAGGGCTGTGCCGGCCAGAGGTGGGCCCTGTGGGGTGCAGGGAAGCCACCCTCAGGGAGGTGCCAGGCTGGGGGCCTTGCGGGATGTCAGGGCAGCTGCTGGTCCCTGGGCACCACTGGAGCTGGGCGCTAGGTCTAGATCCCACCCTCTGCACGTGGCACTGGCTGCTGCCCGGGACAAAGGCCGGGTCACGTCGTGGCTTCTGGAGTCCTTGAGGAAATTAACTGTGCCCGGGTGTCCCTGTTCTGCACAAACCCAGCTGGGCCATGCAGTGA